CCCTGCATTCTTTAGACCGAATGGCATGACTTTGTAGCAATATAGTCCCCTGTCAGTAGTGAAGGCTGTGTGTTCTTGGTCTGAGGGGTTCATGAGGATTTGGTTATATCCTGAATAAGCGTTCATGAAGCTCAAGAGCTCACACCCTACTGTAGAGTCTATAAGTTTATCAATGAAAGGAAGGGGGAAACTATCCTTCGGGCATCCTTTGTTTAGGTCGGTGTAGTCGACACACATTCAATATAAGACCTTTTGAAGCAGGAGACTTTCCTTGGTTGGATTTTTCTTAACAAGGACAACATTTGCTACCCATGTTGGGTAATTGACTTCACGAACGAAGTCTATGTCTTTAAGTTTTTCAACTTCTGCTTTCATCCCCTCGTATCGTTCAACATCATAAGATCTTTGCTTCTGTTTTACTGGTTTGGTCTTGGGATCAATACTCAAGTGGTGATAGATGATATCGGGAGAGATGCCTGGCATATCTTTATATGACCAAGCGAAGACCTCGGCGTTCTCTTGCAAAAAGGAGATCAGCGACAACCGAAGGGGTGGTGACAAAGTGGTGCAAATCTTCACCATGCGATCTGGATGGTCTTTGGAGATAGAGACATTCTCTAACTCTTCAGCGGGTTGTGCTTGCTGGGTGAATGAGTCATCTCGAGGGTCGTCGGGTTGACTGTTGCCATCATGAAGATCCGTGTTGGCTTCATCTAGACTGGTCTTTACTACCTGGTTATGTATAAAGAGGGTCTCCTTAGGGACAGACAGGTGTTGTTGCTTAACTGAAGTGTTGTAACATGATCGAGCACTGAGTTGATCTCCCCTGATATATCCATTGCCGAAGGGGGTTGGAAACTTCATCAACAACATATGTGTGGATACCATGGCCTTGAGATCATTGATGCCTGTGCGCCCAAAGATGACATTGTATGCCGTCGGACAATTGACCACTAGGAAGTTAGTGGTAATAGTAGCTGTGTAGGGGCCTGTACCAATGGTGGTAAATGTATACTCCCTAAAGGTTGTACGATATCACCAGAGAAGCTTATCAGATGAGAAATCGAGCGATTGAGCAAGTGTTCAGCTACATTAAGTGCCTTGAAAGCTTCAGCAAACATGATATTGACTGAAGCACCTGTGTCTATCAGGATTCGTTTCACATCAAAATTTGCTATGTGAGCCTCCGCGATCAGCGGGTCGTTGTGAGGGTAGATGATACCTCTTTTTTCCTCAGGGTAGAAACATATTGGATCCCAATTAGGCTTTTGATACTTGCCTCCCCTGATGTCTTCCACGTGAAACACTTGGTGGCCAGGTCTCAAAGTTTGTTCACTGTTTTTCATGGCCCTATTGGAAGATTCAGACATGGGTGTGCCACCGCTTATGGAATATATCACATTCACCTGGCGTTGGTTACGATTATCCCTTGAAGGGTGAAGGAGGAACTGATCAATTTTTCCTTCACAGGCCAAAGCTTCAATATGATCACGGAGGATGATGCACTTCTCGCCATCATGGCCATTATACTCGTGGTAGCAACAAAACATGTATGTGTTCTTCGTGGACTTGTAATCTGGTTGTCTTGGCTTTGGCTTTGGTATCAGGTGAGCTATACTGGGGTAGATGGCCGCGCATGTAGCGTTCAAAGGTGTGTATGTCTCATACCTCGGGGTAGGGCCTGTCTTGACACGTGATTGGCCCACTGCGTTGACTGCCTGGGGACGGGCATTATTGTGACGATATCCTGAGTTATCGCGATAGTGCCCCTTATTCTTTTTATTAAAATGAGATTGGTGAGGATGAAAATCTTTCCTTTTGCCCTGGGATTGATATGTCTGCTGACTTGGCGAAGCATTAAATGAGGTAGGGGGTGTGCTGCTACCTTTTGGAAGGTTGAGGTCTTCTCATTCGGTTGGATCTGGCCCCCACTCCCTACTTGCTGATAAGGGGTGACTGTAGGGGGTTTCCCTTGATATGTCTTTGCCTCGGTGGAGGCATGGTTGTAAGCTTGTGCCATCACCTCAGAGTAAGTCTTCCAAGTGTTGGCGTTGATCATGTACTTGAAGAAATAGTCACGTAAGCCTGCCGTGAAGGCCTTGAAGGCGGTCTTGTCATCTGCCTCAGCGCAGCGAGAATACTCATGGCTGAAGCGGCCAGCATACTTTCGTAATGACTCGTTCGGCTTCTGGTGAATAGTGTACAAGTCATCTACGGAATGCAAGCGATCGGTCTGGAAGATATGTTGAGAGACAAACAGCTTCCTCAACTCTTCAAATGAGTCTATTGTCTCAGGTGGAAGACGGCAATACCAGTTTAAAGCTCCGCCAGAGAGGGTGGAAGGGAAGAGAAGGCACCGTTCTTTGTTGATGTGTCTCCGGTATACCATGGTGGACTCAAAGAGGTTAAGGTGTTCAATCGGGTTTTCCCTTCCAGTATAGAGTTGTAAGTCAAGCTTCTGCTTTGTCTTCGCTTGAAGGGGGTGTTGAGGATCCTTCTTGTGAGGGGGTCAGGCTTGGGTTGGTTCCAGTCAGGTATCTCGGCTTGACGTTCAGCCTTCAACTTGTTTACTTCCTCCAGGAGCTGTAGGACAAGGGGGTCCTGAGTAGAGTCGTACACCACTGAAGTTTTCTTTCGTAAGTCCCCATCGCATCTTGGAAGTAGGAAAGTTTGATCAAGATAGCGTGATTTTTCCTTGGACTCGCCACACTGACTCCTAGAGTGAGTATGTCGGAATATTTTCGAGTCCCCTGTACCTTCACGTTCTTCTGGGACTTGTTGCTCATTCCCTAGATTGGCTGCTGGCCTGGGTCGTGGAAGAGGACCGAGTCTTTCAGAAACTCTTGGGTCATTGATCTTCGAGCTTATGTGGATGAGATTCTCTTGACGTTGCTTTAGGAAGTCTCAACAATCGTGATAGACGGCTTTTGATCCTTCCACTCCCTCTGTGAAGAGGTGCTTTCCTCTACTTCTTATGCTTCGGGTTGAAGCAGCTGGGTTGAAAGAAGTCTCATGTTGATTATCACATTGATATATAGCTCGATCCTTATCAGGGATGTCCATGTTGGATATCGGTGACCCTCCGTGTTGGGGGGCATTCAGATGATTGTTAACCTCAACAGGGGCGACGAGCTTGTGTGCTTGAGCATGCCTAGCCTCGTGAAGCATCTCGAAAAGCTTTTCATATTGTTCCTGGAGGACCTCATTCTTCATCACTATCTTGTTGTTCTGAACCTCTAGCTCATCGACTTTAGCTTGAAGAGTAACCTTATTTCCTTCCTGCTTTCGTTGCTTCATACTAGGTCCAAGGGGGGTGTCATTTTGTGTGCTATGGCTTCTTTCGCTCCCCATGTCGGAGAGAGATGCTTGGCCAAAAGAAAGTGTACGAGCGGTGGAAACCAGCTTGACAAAGCTGAAGAGAGTGGGAATAAGTGTCGTTCCCATAGACGGCGCCAAATGTTGATGCACAAAATCAGCGAGGACTTTGGTACAACAGAAAGTGTCAGGTTTGTGACCTTCGCTTGGTTGCTTCGATCACTAGTGAAGATAAGTACATAAATGAATAGGGACAATGAAGCAAACACAAGATGTACGTGGTTCACCCAGATTGGCTACGTTCACGGAGTAGAGGAGTTCTCATTGATTGTGAAGGGTTTACACAAATACATAGGTTCAAGCTCTCATTTTGTGAGTTCTAGTGAATAGTTTAGTACAAAATGACATTAGAGATTATTGTGAGAGAATGATCCCTATTTATAGAAGAGAGTTTCTAGTTTTGTTCTGACATTGACACGTGTCGTGTTATGATTGGCTTCTGATGTTGACACGTGTCGCCTGCGATTGGCTTCTGATGTCGACGTGTCACATTGTGATTGGCCTCCTAGTTGAAGGGAAGCTCTTCTGGGTCCTTGACGGTATAACGTTGACCGGTGCTCAGTAGTTTCGGGATTGGTCAAGTATGGTACAAACATAGGTCATCCTATAAAGATTACATTTGCAAAACATTAACTAAGTTCAAAATTATTTATCCAATAAGTAGGCAAATCATGTTTCTCGCTTAAACTTCCAAAGTTTGAGAATGTTAGCCAAATGGGTATAACAATTTTTACTTTGTTGATTTTTGCAAAGTTGATCTCTAAATATAATCTAAAAATTAGACAATTTGAATCATCAAGCAACTTGCAGTATATCTAGGCGCTAGACGGCTGACTACTGTCCCGATTAATCCCTAGGCATTTGAAAATTAATAAAGGGCGTCCAGACCTGCTTAGGTGTTAGCCTAGCTTGCCTAGGCGCCCGCTTAGACACGCTTAGGTCGTGACGCTCACATATAAAGAAAATCGATCTTTCATTTTGTGTTTTATTTTTTTAATAAAATGTCAGAGACTTGTTGACTACTTGGATGAACACTCATTAATGTTTGCTCCCCTTGTTTTCAATATGTTCTAATACTTTATAATCTAGATGTCATTTTATTTTGCAATTTATGTATTCCAATACAATTATGTATTAAGTATAAGAAGACACTTATTTATACGATATATAATAAATGTACTTAAATCCGCCTAAGACCCCGCCCTAACCACCTAGGCGCTAGACCCCAACCCGCAGCCTGACTAGCGCCTAACGCATTTTAGAATCTTAACAAATAGAAGTTGATCAATTAATGGAATATATCAAGCTGAGAGTGCACATGTGTGGCACGATAATGGTTTGTCTTTAATCAAATGGTCAAAAGCAGTAACCACCAAACCCTTTATCCCTAGCCGTCCAAAATGGTGATGAAAGTTTGACCATAATCAAGATCGGGTGTTGACGTCTTAAGATCCTAATTATTTAAGTATGTCAAGTGCATGTATAGTACGCATAAAAATATGAATAAGACATGAATATATATATATATAGACACATATACATGTATATACATATCTATATAGTATATAATCGAATGTGATGCGCGTGAGATGAATAATTTTCCAGAGTATATAAGGAGGGGGTAGGCTTGGCAGAGACGTTTTAACCATTTCTTTCTATATAACTTAGCACAGAGAGGAGAAGAGGGAGGAACAAAGCCCTTACATTTCTCATGAACTCTGGAGTCGTGTTGGGTTTCTATTGTTGGGGTTGGGAGTTCTTAACTGCCCTCCTTCTCTTCTCCCCTTATCATCTTTAATCTCCTTCTTTTAATTATCCTCTTCTTTTCTTCTAGCTCGATCTCTCTCTCTCTCTCTTTGTCAGAAGTAGTTCAGTTCCAATATTAGATACTAAGTAGATGGAGGGTGTGTGTGATGAGCAGAAGGGTTTGTTGGAATATGTTAGGAAGTCAAGCCCGCCACCTTTCCTGTTGAAGACCTACATGCTGGTGGAGGATCCAGCAACGGACGACGTGATATCCTGGAACGACGATGGGTCGGCGTTCGTGGTGTGGCAGACGGCGGAATTTGCCCGGGATCTCCTCCCAACACTCTTCAAGCACAGTAACTTCTCTAGCTTTATCAGGCAGCTAAATACTTATGTACGTATAAATTTATTAATCCGCATATATGTGTTAGATTTATTCTTAGAATCATGCATATGTTAGATTAAAAAAGAAATTACTACCTTAAACTTCATTTGATTCATGATAAAATGGAAAAAAATAAAAAGGAAATTAAGAAAATTAAGAAAATAAATATATAAGAATAAAAATAGTCTCCATTTGGCGAAGTTGACCTAGTTCCTTGAATTTTCTATAGTCAAACTTTTTGGGGGTAGGTATGAAAGGGTCTACTATATGATATTCTTTTTGTTATTAGATGGACTAACAAACTTTCATCTATATGATTTTTATAAATAAAACATTTTTGTTTTGAGTCTTACATCCGAACTTTCACGACGTTCCAAAGCATGAAATTGACATATTTTATGAATCTTTAATATAATTGGAGCCGGCTAAGTCATGAAGAATAATAAATTAATGTGGACTTTTGAGTATGACAGGGGCCTGTCAAGATAAGAAAATGGGAACTTGCCAATGTTCAATGATAAGCAATTATGCAGTTTGAACTTTTCTTTAAGGTAGAAAGTTGTGCACACGTTTTTTTTTTTTTTTTTCTTTACTTACCGAGAGAAAAACACAAAATATATTTTATAGACTTTCACCAGTTTTGAATCATTTCAAAAAGAGACAATAGCCACCTAACAAACCTAGTCCAAAAACAAACAAATCGAAATTTAAAATCTCAGCCATGCTTCCAATGAACATGTTACTTACTTAACTAAGCCAAAACTAAAAACTAAAACCATCTATAAAAGCTTCAAACTAATTTTAGATTCGTGAAATTAATTTCTGCCCTTTGGCAAAATCAGTTTCACAATTCATGCAGTTCTACAAGATTATTTTCAAAATTTTCTACACTTCTGCAAAATCAATTTCAAAATTACAGCACTTCTGCAAGACCGATTTCAAAATTTCAACACTTATGCAAGATAAGTTTAAAAAAATTTAGTCTACAAAATAAGTTTCAAAATTCAATATTTATGCAATATTAGTTTTAAAATCCTTACACTTGTGCAAGATCAGTATCCAAAATTTTAGTCTACAAGATAAGTTTCAAAATTCCAGGATTTTTGCAATATTAGTTTCAAAATCCCAACATTTGTGCAAGATCGGTTTCAAAATTCCTGCATCCAGATAATTAAAACCTCAAAAATCAAATACCTTGAAAAAACAATACTATAATCAAACATCAAAATAAAAAATCTCAATCATTCTCATAGAAGAAAAAATACTCCTAAATCTAGGGAATAATACAAAGAAGAAGAGGATGGGAGAGAGAAGTAGGTATAAGAAGTAGGAGAGATAGAGAAGGACGAAGGAGGAGAAGAGAGGAAAGACAGAGAGGTAGGAAAATGAGGAGACAGAGAGAGAAATAAGGAGTTAGAGACCCAACTTTCAGACATATAGGGGTAGAATTGTAAATGCAAAGACAATTTAAAAAACGATGAAGACATCACATGCCATATAAATAAGTTTCTTTCCTCCATGAAATAAATGAAAAACTTTTTCGCTCTACAAAATATAGCCTTATATTTTGACTCAATGTGTAATTTCTCCAAAAAGGCATGTGGAGGTGAAAAATATGTGTAGAAATCATTTTTCTTTATTTATACTATTTTTTGTTGAATATTTATACTAATTAGATTAAAAGTTTGAAATTAGTATCTCTTTTAATTTTGGAAAGAAAATGTTTCTAAACAAAAAGTTAGGTAGAATCTCTCCAATCATGCTTTTTTTTAAATAAAATTCTAATAAAAAAAAGAAGGGAAAGCTATCTTAGAGTACCTTTAGAGAATAATACTCTATCCACACCCAATAGTTTATGGAATCATAAGACTATTTTCAATAATGCTATCCATTTTTAAGTTAAATAATAATTAAAATGACTAGAGAGTTATTTTGGGAGCTCTTTATAAAATACTTACTCAAACAATACCTCTTGTTTAGAGGTTCATAATGACCATAAGTTAAAGAAAAGAATCTCCAATCACGTTTTCTATTTTTCAGTTGAATAAAAACTAAAACAACTAGAAAGTTATCTTACAAGTTCTATACTTCAACAACACTCTCTAGTTTAGTTAATAATGATTAATTAGTATAAGCAATAAGAATAAAGTTTGTGTCTAATACATACCACAAAAATAGGCATACAAAATATGAAACTTTAACGAAAAGCACCCGGTACTGTTCACTTTAATGAAAAATCACATTTTTACACTAAAAAGTCAATCCTGGTACTATTCACTTTACCCTTTATTTTATTTTTATCATTAAAACTCAAAGTTTTCAAACATTTTTCACTAGTTTTTCTTACAAAATAAGGAGCTACTAGAATTTCTTTATCGATTTCATTTATTTTTTATCTGACTAGTAACCTTCACACGTGCTGCTATTCATGTGCTTAGGAGAAAGTTATTGCAGTAGAGAATAAACATAAAAGGTGGAGGGTAAGATGAAAAGAGGATATAATTGAATTACAATAATGCCCTTGAATATTTTAAAATTCTTTGGCATTTATGGCTCTAATTGTCCTTTAATCCTGTTTAGTTCACAAAGAGGATATCGGGGGACACCTATTATTTGACATAGTTTGTAGGGCTCATTTGTAACTTTTTCAACATTCCGGACCGTCTCGATTTCAATTCATCATTCATAAATCATCCTTAGAAAAAATTAAACAAATCCAAAATTATTAAGATATTTATTTATAATGAATAATTGACGAACACGGTTGTACAAAGAAACACTAAAATGACCATTATTTAATCCAACGGTCAATAGTTTTGGCTTTGAGTGATTTCTGGTAGACATGATTTTTAAAAGAAGACCTTAAAAATATACGATTAGATCGTTAAAATACATTACAACCCTGCGAAATCTGTGTCAAAAAAATATGTGTACCTCAATTCTAACTCTTAAAAATATTATAAATTAAGTTGACATTAGGAAACTGATGTGGGTAGAAAGGCCTATCATTGCTAATATAGGTAGGGAATTGCGGATGTAATGTGTGTGTGTGTATAATGAACTCTTACAATGGTTTGGTATTAACCTCATGTGTAATCAAATGCCATGCGTATATATAGGGATTTCGCAAAGTTGCCACAAACAGGTGGGAGTTCTGCAACGACAAGTTCCGAAAGGGCGAAAAGGATCAGCTATGTGACATCCGTAGAAGAAAAGCATGGGCCACCAAGCCACAGCCGATCAACAATGCAGTAACCGAGAAAGCTGGAGCAGCTGCACTACTACCAAATGAGTTTGATGAAGACCAAAGGTCCTCCTCAACTTCATCATCATCTGAGTTCTGCTCTCTCGTTGACGAAAACAAACGGCTGAAGCAGGAGAACGGCGTTTTGAGCTCAGAGCTTATGAGCATGAAACAGAAGTGCAACGAGCTTCTCCATTTGGTGGCAAGGTATGGAGACTCAGCTGAGAAAGAGGAGGAAGATAATGAAAGAGTTCCAAAGTTGTTTGGAGTGAGACTGGAGGTTGCGGGAGAGAGGGAGAGGAAGAGAAAGAGAGCTGAAATTAGTAAAAACGCAAGCGTTTTACTATCTCAAGCATGCAAATAAAAAAGTCGCATCCATTTAATTGTGTAGAAAAAGATTTCGAATACAGTGACATTTTAAATAAGCTAGCCATAGCTACTTAAAATCAAGTGGCTTCGGTAGACTAATCAAATGACCATACTTTTAAATTATTCATGTATGAAACGTATGTAAATTCTTATACATGCAGTGTTAATTAGAACCAAAGGGGATAAAAAAGGCATCAGAATTGTAAACTGGTACAACATATATTTGAAATGCTTCCATTTGTTTAAATCAGTGTTTTAAAATACTTGCCTTGGTACAGCTTCCGTGGCTGGGTTCTGCGGAGCTGCTTGATTGGATTTGGCGTTGGCTGTAGGATTTCTTCCGAGTTAATCCGGAAAATTTTGAAGGTGGTGGATGCTGGGGTCTTGAAGCTTCCTTTGTTCTGTTTGTAGGGCTGGGCTCTTTTTCGAGCTTTGGTGGGTTTGTTGGGAGGCCCATTTGTGTGTATGTATCTTGTTTGTATGTGGGCCTCTGATTGTAATCTAAAGTTTGGAATAAAATTGTCTCCTTTCTTCGGAAAGGTTCTTTCAAAAAAAAAAAAGACTTGCCTCGGGGCACGCTTAGGCTGCCTTAGAGGCGGGGCTGCAGCATTTTTGTCTTTGTTTTATGGGAGTCGGCGAAATATTCGCCTAGGTTTCTTGGGGCACACATAGGCGCTTGAGGCGTCGATTGGGCATCCCTTTTTCTTTTTTAAGTTGCGAAAATCTGGAAATTTTTTAGAGTTGCAGAGCTATTTTGAGTTGCAGGCAATGAACACCAGCGAAGGAGATGAAGAAGACAGCTATGTTTTTTAGGCTGAGTTGGTGTTTTTAATTTTTTTTTCTTTTTTTAATGTTTAAACTGATCCCACTTTTCTACATTTATTACCTCATTATCTTCACTTTTTTATTTTTATTATTTTTTTAAAGTAACCCCACTTAAAGACATTTTTGTTGCCCCACTATCTTCTTTCTCTTCACTTTTTGTTTCTAATATTTATTTTCCTCATATACTAGATGTATATATTAGATAAGCATTGTTTTATTTTTATTTTTTAGTACAACGGTATATTTTACATTAAGCGGGAAGGGAAGTTCGGCTAAGTCACACAATGAGCAACCTAATTTGGTATTGAATTCTCTATTCACAAGATTCGAACCTAAGACCTCTCACTTACAAGTGAAGAGGAATACCACTACACCATAGTATTGAGTGGCTTGTTTTGTTTTTGTTTTTATTATTTTCCTGAATATTCTCATGATTGGCCGTAGGAAAAAACATCTTTTTATTTGTATTATACTTTTTTTAATGTTATATTATTCCTTTTGTTTTTTTTACAATTAAATTCAAACACTGTAATGTAATGTCCGTTTTCTGATTCTGTTTTTTTACATTTGCAGCATCTGTTTCCTGGCTCTCTTTTGTTTTTTTTGGTTTTTTTTTTTTTTTTTTTTTTGAATTGAGCTGACTCCTCCATGTAAACGAAGGGTGAGAGAGAGAGAGAGAGAGAGAGAGAGAGAGAGTGTGTGTGTGTGTGTGTGTGTGTGTGTGTGTGTGTGTGTGTGTGAGTGATAGAGTATACATGTTCTAACTATTTAGGATTCAGATCCTCCCAAGATCAGTTCCATAGGAATAGAAATCCAACGGCCAAAGTCTCTTCCCCTGCCTCTCTTCCCCCTCCACTAATTTTTCTCCCTCGCACCCCCACACCCCTCCTTTGTTAACAAACCCCAAATTCAATTGCATGTCATCTGTGCTCTAAGTCGGATTTATTTTTTTGCTATCCCTTACTGTTTTAGCTTTTTATTTGTCATCTCTTCCTTCTTCATCTTTGAGATTTCTGTCTCTATAATTCTTCCATAGTTATGAAAAAAATCTCTACAACCTTTGTTCGACCCCTTTTTTGTTGGTTCAAGGTTGAGAGCTTCGAAGTGAGGGAGAAAGAGAAGAGTTGAGGGGAAAAGATGAAGGATAAGAGATTTTGGCCGTTGGATTTGTATCACTGGATGAGATCCATCGGTCCAGAGGATCTCCACAAAATTGATCCGGAGAGAATCTAAGTCCGTATTTATAATAGCTTAAGCTCATATGACATTTATAGAGAGAGAATGATAGAATAGTCAAATTCTAACTATTTATAATGACTTAAAGCCTATGTAGCATCATCATTGACCTACGCCTAATTAATAAAAATGTATCATTAATTAAGTCCAAAACAAAAATATGTCATAGATATATGGCTTAATATTAAATTTTTATTAACTTTTGGCTAAATTACCTTATATATATGAAAAAACCTCACACCTCAAGGCTTTCGCCTAGACGGGGCTATCCATCAAACGCCTCGCCCACACCTTCGTCTTTTAAAACATTAGGTTAAATTGAAGTTTCTTCAATCCCTCCATGTAGTGTCAGTTTATTGTCTATGTATGTGAGATGGATTAGTTCAACGTAAATTTTTACGTCCTCCCAAGTAATGTACTATGAACATCTAGTTTGAGGTTATATATTGTATTTGAGCACAATGAAGGTGTGGGGTTGGGGGTTGATGTGGAATGTGGAGAAACGGGGATCTGGAGAGGGCGTTAGGTGTGGTTGTGGTTGTGGTTGGGTGGGGTTTGGTTGCGTGGTGGCTGATGCGGTGGCGTTGAAGGGTTGAGAATGGTATTAGGAAGTCAAATATATTTTAGGAATATTGTAAATATTGTATTAGTTTTGTATCCTTATTTGTAATCCTAGATTGTAGCCTTTACTTATTGTACAAGGAAAACAATATCTACATATAAACGTATCTCGATCAACGGAATTATTTTGGCGTTCTCCAATGGGACTAATTTTATTGGTTCGACTACTAATGGCTTAGTGAAAAATATTAATTATATGAAGCCTGTGAAAATTCATTGCCATACAGTGGTGGTTGGTTTTCAAGTTTATGCTCATATAATTTTGTATTTTGGCACTAATATTGATTAAGCTTCAACACCAAACAAGGGCGCAAGTTGTTTCAGTATAAAAGTTTATAGGGTCTTGAATGGTTGTTTGCTTAAAATTTTTAGTTTTACGCTCCCTTGACTCCATTGAAGCAAAATTCAAGGAGTCCAAAAAAGCTGAAACTGGAACGCTTATGAACACATCCTGATAACCACGAAATATATTGGTGAAGGTGTAAGAGAGCACATTATGTCCATGGCTGATGTAGCTGCCAAACTTGATGCCCTAAATATTAAGATTGAAGACCCCTTTATGGTCCATCTAGCTCTCAATTTTGAATCATTCATTCATCAAATACGTCTTCTTCTGTGATCGATTTCATCTCAACTAGATTTAGTTATCAAAAGGCCTACCCAAAAGGAATTTAAAATTAAACAAGAATATGTGTCACTATCCGTAGTTCAAGGGCAGTCTTCAACAGGCTGACTCCAGCAGCCAGACCAACAAAGAAAGTTTAATGAAGTAGTCTCAATTGAAGAGTAGTTATATTGCTCAAAAGGAAAAGTGGGAGCTGAATGAGTTTATTGCAACGAGAAGGGTAAGAGACAACATGATGCAGAAACAAATCCTTCCAATCCTCCCAATGAAAGAGAGAAACATCTTCCGAGAGTCAATCACAGGGCCAATGAAAGAGTGAACGCTAGAGGGAATAACCGCTTGAGGGTGCAACAATGCATGTCACAAACTCTTTACTGGCTACGATAGTAAGAAAGTGATACAGGTGCAACAATCCCCCTTGATTCGGGTTTAGATAGAGTGGTGAGTTTGCAGATGATCTTGGCTGCTGCTGACCCCAAGCCATAGCACGGTGTCTGCGGCTCAGCGGCCGGAGGAGCTGCTATTAGGGTTTTCTGTTTGGGTCGCGGGGTGAGAGGGGAGGCGAGAGAAAAGGTTCCTCTTTTTACCACTGTTGTAGTGCATTACTGACTCTTTCTAATGTTTCCCAACTTGAAAACGAGCCACGGTGCCACGGTGCCACGGTGCCACGGAGCCGCGGGGCGCCATGGCAGAGTTGAGTTATTCTACGTTGTTGAACGTTTTGTACAAGAAGGATCTATCACCCCTTAACTCCTAGGTAAGGGTTTTAAGTAATAAGAGAAGGCACGACTTTGGGCATTCCTCGCCTCTGTGAGTCATGTCGTCATCAAGTATGATATAACGGGTATAACTCTAATCTGTAATTTCGCAACAAATTACTTTTCACCGAATTTCGATCTTATGTACAAATTTCGTTTCTGATATTTACAGTCTCTGATGGTCTCAACCTTAAAAGCGGGGCCAGATAGTGATTTGCCGAGTGCTGTCAAAGTGTTCAAATTAGATTTGCCTCAATAGACGGTTAAGATCTCACGAGTTAGCCGCAAAATGGTTGAAAATAGTTTCAAGAGTGGACTGGCTAATACTGTATTCCGCAATGCCAAGTTGATGTCTGGAAAAGAGAGAACGTAAACACTGGTCAGACTGAGCTCGAGGAAATATGAACAGACAGAAAAGACATGATGAAATTCACCTGCTCCGTTCAAGGTGCCCAAAGACATCTGCAAGCGAGAGGCCCTGTCCATATGGCAACTGCAATAAAAGTTGAGATAAATTACAAGTTGCTATCCATACTTAACATACGCGCATATTAATCTTGTTAGAGCCACAGGTGAATCCTAGAGATCCCCGATCAACATTCATCCTACTGGCCATCGTTAAGTAGAGAGGTTTACATCGCCCCAAGGAAAAGGTACTCGGGCATCTGAAACACTTCAAAATAGACGTACCTTGCCCCACACTAACCAGAAATCAAGAATTCAGGGATAAGGGTGAGAATATGAATGGATTAGGGTCCAACCTCTCCTAGCATTTTATTTCTGAAAACTGTAGTAAACCAACTAGCATTTTATTGAATGGCTTTCAAGAGGACCGCTTTGCAAAACAAAAGAAGAAATTGAAGCTTGCATTTTCAAGATTTGAGAATGCCTCTGTGGAACTCAAATTCTCAAAACTTTTCTTGGAGATGAAAATAGTGAAAAAACCAACAAAAGTAGGCAATCTGTAACTGCGGACGACATTTATGAGAACTATTTCAACAAACTGACACTACCACAGGGTAGTAGAAAACAAGCTAAGAAAGCTAACCCTAAAATAATAATGGTTTTACAACGTAGTGCCAAATATTTTCATTTCCGTCGTGACTTTACCATTTAACATTGCATGACCAAGTTCAGAAAACTAAAGATGAAGACACTACTATGGTGTGTTAATGAACACAGGCTCCACCGACCCACTATGAAAGCTATTCTAATTCTTATGTGGCCGACACGCACTTGCACACTCATAGACAGTATTTTTGTTCCTATGTGGACCACTGATTGGCTAGTTACGGGCTCACAGTCTGAGCATTTAGACAGCGTGTTATGTTATGGACCTAATAGTATCCGGAATATGAAAAAGTTTGCATTATCCAAAGTACGTCTTTCAAACCATTGAATGCTTGATGGATTTGGACTAGACAGCAGAACAGAGATTAAGATCTATTCTTTTTTTTTTTTCTTTAAATTCCATTATCCACACAAATGAAATCAACAAGAACTACAATTTTTAACATTAATATAAGATAAATTCTACCTGGTATTTAGCACTCAAGCCATTAAACCCCTGGAATATTGCACCAGGGAATGATGTGAGGACAAATGAATCAATTGCTGAAAACTTCTCATTGGACAACCACCACTCAGAAAATATTGGCAATGGTATACCCCCTGCACAAAATCCAAGAGTAAGGAAAAATATAGCAAGACAAAGAAAAAACAACAAAGAAATAAATTTTAACCCTAAGCCCTAAACCCCGGGACCTTTCTGACATCTTCATGTCATCACACCGTCACGAAAATAGAGCAAAAATTGTACAGCAGTCTATGCCCATCCAAAATTTCCAATCAAGTAAGAAAGCCAAAAAAATTCAAAGTTAAACGAACACAAGTTAATAAGTGCATGTATCCTTCATACCATCTCGAACCAACTGCTCAATTAACTGTTCACCAATCACCCCATCAGAAATTGGCAGCGGAGATATTAGTGTCTTTATTCTTTCTTCATTGCCAAGCCATCGTCCAATCATAATTATCATTTCTCGCGACAAACTAATCTCTGCCACTGTGGCATTTTCAGCCAGAATGGAGTCTGCCCCAATGCATATTTCAAGGCCATCAAGTAAGCTCCTGGGATGGGATGGAACAGATGACAGCCATTCTTGAATAACTCGGCACAGATTTTGTAAGTCCACAGAGCTGACTTCAAAAGGTTTAACCTAAGAGCAGGCAACAAAGTTTAAAATATTTCAATGTGCCCGTATATATCATGTCCTGTTATAATTCTTTCAAACCACCCCACTCTACAATGAAGGGAAATAAGGAAAAGAAGAGAGAAATACCTCTAGCTCAAGATGATTTCCAAATCGAGTTTTCAAATGCTGGGGACTACCAATGCATCTTAATCGACCTCCGACCTTAAAAAAAATCATCATAGTGGTGATACAGTGATCTCAACAGTAGAAACAGTAGAGTAGTGTTTCAAGTCGAGTGGTAAGGTAAGTAGGTACCATGATCCCCATACGAGTGCAAAGTGCTTGAGCTTCATTCATGCTATGCGTAGTAAGTATTACTGCTGTCTTTCCTCGTCTGGTTGATAGACGAGATATCACTTCCCACATGAATCTTTTGGCAATTGGATCCATACCTAGTACCATTAATAGTCAGCAAAAATTCTAACTCTACCCAAATAAAAAGCAAATACTTTTATATGGTGCACACAATAGTTTCCATAGAAACAACGCGGGCCCAGGGGGGGGTCTAGTATACGTGTATTTCACAATCCATACCTAGTAGGAGTATCCTCTACATTTCCTAAAACATAATTTAAGATGAATTAGTTGTGTTAAAAGACATTTTCCAAGCCTTGGGCAGCACAACCTATATCAACTTTCATGCAGAAACATTTAATTGTGTTCTTTGTAATTTGAATGGAACAACAATGAGAATCTTCATCAACTTCCCATGAAAGAAATGGTTTTGGTTCTCTCTTGACATCCCTAGCTAGTTGTTGGAACCACCTGCTATCACCCCCTCATATGGCTCCGATAATTGCTTCATGATGCTTTGGCGTTCAATAAGGTTGGTTAGGTCAAGATTTATTTTCTTAGTCAGTTACCTTATGAGTGATAGCCATGGTGAGACCACATATGAACCACACAAAGAATCTCACTCATCCCCTTTTAGTCATCTTCAGTAACTTCATAAATATATGTTATGCCACAAATTTGAAGGCAGTTTCATCATATAAACAGGGAGGGAACAAAAAAATTTGAAGATACTGATCACAACATCCTATACTATAAATTGTTTTAAGGACTAGGCTAACAAGATTTTAGAGTAAGAACAATTATGTATACCTGTTGACGGTTCATCAAGAATGACTATAGGAGGATCTCCAATCATCGCAATTGCGACAGATAATTTACGCTTGTTTCCCCCACTGAGAGAAAATGATGGTTTGTTGGCATGCTTTAACAAGTCAAACTCCATTAACTTTTCCATTACAACCTGTCCAAATAGTTTCAGGATTAAGGGTCGACCAATTGATTGATTACTCAAAACTATCAAAGGTAGAATGCCAAATTCATTCCACGTATTTAGACATGAAAAATATTTGCCTTAGAATTTAGCATGATACAACTTGATTTGAAATTCTAATTCATTAAAGTCTATGCAAATAGGAAAAATAAATCTGAATTAAAGACAGGTGCTAAACAAAAATTTTGTTCTATGAACTCCGTAACCAAAACAAAAAAGTTCTATGAACTTTGGATATACATACATCATCCAACCGGTGATCTGGTACTCCTTTTATTGTGGCATAAAGCTCAAGATGCTCTTTAACAGTTAAGAATTCCAACAAAGCATCAAACTGTGGGCAAAATCCAATCTGAAATTGAATACAAAGTGAGAAACATTAGCTAGGATTTACCATAAATGAAGACAATGGAAAAAAACCTGTCTCTGGATATAAATTTATATAGTCAACCAGCACACTGCACAAACAAATATGACATCCCACAATTTAATATTTCTCGCACACTTATGCACAAATTTGAAGAAAAATTAACACATACATGTCGACGAGCAGCCTTTGGATTAGAGCATATATCCCTTCCAAATATATAAGCAGTCCCATCAGTTGGAGATTCCTCTCCTGCATGGACATTGTTCAATCAAAACGAAGGAATTGACATAATAATTCAACATTGGAAATATGCCAATTAACAATGCAGAAGCACACAAGACCAGAAAATGAATATTAAGCAAAGCAAAAGAGAAACCGTTTTACTAGTGTTTGATAGAAATCACACATTGTCAGGTTCATATGGAGAGCTATGGATGCATTGATGAAACATTATAAATAATGATATTCATCTTAGAAGACACTGAAAGGGTAAGAAAGAGTTAACTCGATTTAAGCTAATATATTCAGGGAGATGATTTCCACACACCCTTTTTCTCCCCATGCATACCCATGTTTATCCTTAGTCATTGGATCAAGTAAAGCAAAGAAGAATCAAAGGACATAAAAGGACGGGTGCGAAGAAAAAGAAAAAAGGGTGTGCAGAAATCATTTCCCTCAAGACACGGTTCCCTCAGATTTGCAGAAATCATTTTTATGACACAGAAAAAATGAGTATAAATAACAATTAACAAATCAGTAGGCAATATTATGCATTTTAAATGTTTCAACAGAAAAGTAATTATCTGATATTCTGGTGTCCAGCAGTTACATACCAGTCAGCATTGACAGAGTTGTGGTCTTTCCAGCTCCATTTGTTCCTAAAAAACCAAAACACTCCCCTTCCTGAACTGAGAAAGTCAATGAATGTACCGCAATTTTTGCACTATGATGCTTTCCTCCTGGAAACACCTGAAATTTTACAAATATTGCTTATACCATCAAGGTTGTAAATCATCACTGTCAAATTCCAAGAACCGCCAATATCATTTAAAGCATATATAAAAATACCTTCCAAAGATTCCGCAAATAAATTATGGCATTGTCAATGGAACCTGAAAGCACCCTAGTTCTTTCTGTCTTTACATCGATATCTTCATCAAGGTCAAGAGTAACATCTGAGGAACTCTTCAGAAGGGGTTCTAGATAACTTGGGGTGCCATGTTCGATACTTCTAATGTTGTTCCAACATTCCTTCAGTGTGGCTAGTGTCCACTTGTTAGAAAGTAAGAGTTCAAGCCCAAGTGTCAAAAGGAAGTAACAAATGCTCTGCCACAGGTGAGAAATTTGAATCAGCACATGCTAAAGGTACTTGCCAACCTTGTACAACTTTCTATCGAAATAGTAAGAAATTTATAAGTTACAAAAATTAAAAGTAGAGTTCAATTTGTTCAGAAGGCTGCAACCACAAGAATTTATACCCAAGATCTCCTACTTTCATATAGATTGTAGTGGGAGGTTCCAAATCCAGGATGTCTAGGACCCAGATGTCTGATTCTAGGTTTGATTACCATCATATCCCAATGGCTTAAGCTGTTAGGATATGTGTAACATGATCTTATACATAAACAACATGTGTTGCTTCAATTTCTTTGTTTCGTCATTCCACAAGGCACATACATTTACAGCTTACATTTTGACAGAATGGAAAACAATGTGACTGCAAAGTTTCAAGTGTAGGGTTTCATCTTGCTGACATGTAAATATTGGAATGGTTCTATATAGAAGAACAATTGAGCAAACCAAAACTCTATGTATGGTTATTCCTTGTTACCATTATATATCTACTGAAACGTCCACTTCTCAAGAAATATTACTTTTCCAGCAGACAGTTGCAGAAGAGTTTCCCGCACAAGGCCAAGATACATACCTCAATACCAAGATAACAAATTGAGCCACCAGTAACGTTCCAATCAAGGGCCTGATTGCTGGATTTATCTTTCATATCTTGCCGGAGAAGAGCCAGTGATGCAAGTCCATCAGCAAAGCAAAACCCTGGAGATAATCTGAAAAAGTTCTGGAAGCATAGATCTAAATGTTAGGAAGATAAGATTGTATCGACACGACATCAGTACCCAGTTTTCTATATTGAATCACGATATTTAGAAAGAGGCAAGCTCAAATTTCTAGAATATCCCTCCATCAGTTGATAAACAATTCTAGACTCATTGCTCCTAAAATATTAGATGGTTCACACCAATAAAATGCTTTTACGAATTAAAACAGAATAATTGGGAAACAATAGTAAGATCAAGTGCAACATTTCAATTAGTCCTACTTTTCTAAATGAATCAACATTTTGAAGTAAATTTTAAAAAGACTAGCTAGATAATCTTCCTGCAGAGTGTTCATTTTATATATACATATGTTTTCCACAAAACCCAAAACTTCACAACAAAGTTAGACGTGGTAAGTGTAAATCAAAGTATTAAAGTAATAAAAGCAGTAGCACTAAGAAGAATACCAATAAAAGATAAGTTACATGTGTGTAGGAATACAACCTTAAGAAAAGAATTTGCACTTGCTGTTGTCTTTATAAGTCCCATGATGAATGAGATAACCATAAGAATGAGTCCCGTAAAGAAGTGGACCAAGAGAACCACATTCTGGATATGAATAAGCATATAAGTACAACGTTAATAACCAAAAGTTGCAAGCTTAATGTCTGAATGTGAGAATAAGAGAATGACACATGGAAAATACACCACCTGAGCCATACTGTGGTCAGAGAAGAAAAATGTAAGGCAATATGTGGATGATGCGATTGCTAATCCATACGCTAAAAACATGACAACTGTTGACAATAAATATCCGCTTCCAATGAACTGCTCCAGACCTACATACAGTTTTCTTGTAATATAAGTAAACCTGAAGATATAATCAATGTTTGATGGAACTCAAGAAAAAATAGAACAAGCGTGGAGCTTAATGCCCTTAATTGGTGTCTTCTGTTCGTGTAGATTATGTTATGTTATATTATCCCGTATCGAAACAGTCTCTTATTCAGCAGACACTAAACAAACAAACAAAAATGTGAATAAACATTTTGAATGCTGCCAATTTTCAGATTTTAACATAAGAAATGACGACATTCTCTTTTACAAAAAATATCAGTGATGAACTGAAGTTGGAGGTTCAAATTCGTACAAGAATAAAGGGTGAAGAACTACAAGTTTAAAGACATACCAAAGATGTAAAAAAGAATTATTGCAAACAATGAAGGAAAAAGGAAGCTGATGAAGTCCCATATGAAAGTAGAAGCCCAATATGAAAGAATAGAAACCTGAGGATGAATATAAAACAATTTGGTTAATCTTATGAGTCAGTAATGAATGTACAAGCGGATGGTTATTTAACCAACAGACAAACGTACCCCACTAATCAGTTGTTGGTGTTTGGCTTTTACTTCACGCTCCTGCATCAGTCAACCAAAAAAAATTTCCGGGGTAAGGAAATACTCAGAGCAGTATAGAACATACAAAATTACATTGAACAACTCTTAGGTAGGTACGTAGTTTAATTGACATAAAGTTTTTGTCATCAATATTGGAATCTATTTCAGTTGAAGCCAGGTTAGCAGTTGCTTGCTACAAGTAGGTATAGTGCTGTCTGGGAGTTGGTTGTGGTTGTTTCTTTATTATAGCCCTTATGTCATTGTAGTGGTCAAGGTCATTGTAGTTGTCATCAATAAAAAGTTGCTTTCTTGTACTAGAATGATGTAGTACATGAAGGGTCATTGCTTTGTGATGTACATTGTATCTGCTAGTATAATGTATCTTCATAATGTGCATTTATTGCTTGGCCTAAATGCATAAATAGTCTTAATCCATCATAAATGTATCTAGTGGATTAAGATTATAAATAAGACCCTTTGTAGCCTGGTGAAGGCATTCAATATTTATGAATTCAATACGTCTATGAAGAGACTCTTCATTGGTTTCCCTAACTAGAGTTCTACTCTGCATTCCTAGAATTCTCTTTGAGAAATTTAGATTATCTTTTACCACTTCCACTACATATACAATTAAACGCCTGCCAATACTAATATAGTGAGTAAATACTAAGGCATCTTCACTTACAGCTGTAACTTCAATTAACCATGTCCTAACGACTAGTGTTAAACAGTACAGTAAATCACTCAATTATGAAGCAAACACATTCGAAGTGGACTGTTGAAGGTATGTCACATTACCTTCACAATAGGAACGGCAAATGATGCAGGGATGAATGAAAATGCAATACTAACAATAACTGCAGCTGAGAATGCATCCAAATCCTGCAAAATGAACACAGGTAAATGTGAAAATTCACAGATCCTCCCATCTGTAATTGAATTGAACCCTATCGAAAGAATGAAGAGGTTTAAAACCACAACTGCACCATGAATGGCCACAGAATTGTACAGTTTACGTTTACCATATTTAACATTGAAAACCCAATCAGTGTTACATAATTCATTGAAGAAAACAATCCTGGCATCACTATACTTAAATAAATTGGTTATGACAAAGGACAGGAGGAGCAGCTTTGAGAATTTGAACATTCCATTACATAAATAAGTCTCACTTATTCCGAATGTTACAAAATGAAAATTAAAGTAGTTATTCAATCAACACTGAAGCCAAAAAAAAAAATTATTTATAGAGTGAGAATGACTTTCTTAGTGCTTAAAGGGTGAACTTGAAAACAAAATCTTAAGAATATTACTGAATGGAAATAACATACATGACGTTGCAGATGTTGGCTATTTGTCATTGGGAGAGGGTGATTACGCGTTTGGATTGTCATATTCTTATTACGAGCAGCAAGCCTAAGAATTGCAGCATTCATTAAATTGATAAAGGTAGGGGCAGCATGCTGACAGGAACTGTTGTGTAGCACAGTGTACCCTAAACTTCCATCATCATTCTGATCATCCATCAAAATTGCCCCATACCTACATCATGCATACATTACAGTGAAGCAAAGAACCGTAAATAAGAATTTCCAAGCTCATCATAGTCAACTAGAAATTCAGCTACTGATTTTGTCACAAGAAATCATTCATTCAGATTATTGCTGTGGAAAAATGTAGATGGAGCTCACAGTTGAAGAAGAGAATGTGTGCAAAATTTGTGAAATTAAAGGATTGCTAATTTGCTAATGAAACCAACATGCGTAGCCAAAAGGATCATGACTTGCACTATTAATTTCACAATTTTGTGTCCCATCTTTGATATATGACCAAATATCTACCTCAATCGACTTGCAATACTAACAAGATTGATGGGTAGATGAAATATATCTATACTATCACAGGGCCCACCTATTCTGCTCTATATATCTCATCTACACTAGATTGAGTTCCAGAACAAATATTATGATTTCTTACAGATGCAAGCTTCCTGTGTAGGGTAAAGGGTACTTATTGTAAACATATTACATTGACACAAAATTTAGAGAAAAAATTAGTAAAGGGGAGACTCATGAAAACCTCATTTTCAAGAGACCTATAAAGAGGGGAAGAGGGGAGGTATGGTAGGGGAATGCAATAAATTTGCGAAGAAGGAAAAACTTTAAATTCGGTTTAACACACCTTGACTGGTAAGATTCGTTAAAGCTAGACATTAAAAATTCGCTAATTGAAAGTAAAACAGGTCCCATGGTTGGCCCAGCTGCCTCAACTGCATCATCCAATATCTTATCTGAATTAGGGAATCTATATGCACTAGGTCTGAATTCTTGTATCCAACCCCCTTTAACATACTGTGCAACCTGCACAAGCAATAGCTTTTAAGCGGCAATGACCATTGATTTTGCAAGCTATGAGAAAACAATTGACAGGGGTACCCCCACAACTCTGTAGGGTACAAAATGAGCATAATAAAAAATGAAAGTCAAAGTGATTGACAAACCTCCTTTGCAATAGGCAAGGACAGATTAAAAGGGATTGGGCCACCACCACCACCACCTCGTAATAGTGGATTAAAATGTGAAGTTGTAAATGTAACAGACTGCTGATCAGGATGTGGCTTGAGCTTGAGAAACAGAAGACCGAAAAATAAGAAAACTGCAGGAATAACAAGCTGGAAAACAATTGTTTTCCGGTCTCTACGAGCAGATATTGCCCTCTTTGTGAGCAATGCTTTAGAATGTCGCCAAAAAGTTGACCTTGAAATGAAACAACAGCTACAGCAATGACCACCAACAAAGTTTAAAAAACTTAAAACTGTAGCGACAACCAAACCACAGGCTCTTCCCACTATTCTAAATAAGAACCCAAGAATCTCTTTATAATATCCAAAGGATTTTTTTGACTCAGAGATCTTTTTGGGAGAAGAATCATGAGAAGACTGAGAAATCAAAGAATCAAGACACTGTTGACCAGTCTTCTGTTCAAAACTAGCAGCTTCAGCATAGTCGCATCCTGCAACCCTCAAGAATACCTCCTCCAAAGTTGTTACAGATATTCCATAACTTTCAATGCCCAAATAGTCCTTCTCCTCGCCAGAACTTGTTTCTGAGTTTGATGTAGATCGTTTCATGCAATTCTCAATTTCCCTAAACATACATTCAAAGGATGATGCGGATGCCAAAGGAAGCTTAAAGGAAATCTCCGTTCCTACCTGCACAGGAATACAAAACCCCACATATAACTTACAGTACTATTAGCAGTTTAGATATGCATAATAATTTGTTAACTAATAAACTATAATGAAGTAAACACATATATCAGTTGCCCTCCCTCCCAACCAAGGGCAGGGGAACAATCAAAAGTAAGAAACCTATTTTTTGTCAATAAAGAAATAGTAAAGCTACAGAGACATTATTGTAAATGATCACTGATTTAATAGCATCTCTACTTTTATTAAATCAGCATGAATGCTTGAGTCATAGATGTGATGAGTACCTCGCTCACACATGTTGCTGATGGGATATGGCGGTAAACAATGTCAGAAGCTACACAGGCAGTAGGTGTCGACTGACATAAAAAAGAATAACAACGCATAGCATGTTAGAGTGGTGCAATGATAAGAGATACCAATCAACAGAATCCAGCAAAAGATGAACAGAAATAGAGGCATTACTTTCACCAAGGTTAAAGTATAACCAACCCCGTACTGACGCTTCAAGAAAAGGGAACTGTGAAAAATGAGAATTCAACATGAGAAAGTTGTATAGCATATTCACAGCAATATGCATTAAAATTTTTATGCATGGGTGAAGTACAGAGGAACATTCCAGATAGTGAGTTCTATACATACATATAGTTGAGCTTTTAAGTGGACAGAATACATATCCCAAATATAAAAAAGGCACGTAATAATTTCAACCCAATACCAAAAGTAATTGTCAGTTAAACCATGCTTCTTAACTCACGGAGAATATATAACTTGATCAGAACAAGGATTCAGATAAGAACTTAGTCAAAAAAATAACTCAATAACAAACTCTAACACTATAGGCTGTGTTTGAACAAGTGAAACCTTCCGCAACATTTCAAGGAACCATTAGCCATGATGGCTATACGATCTCCAAGTACTTCAGCTTCATCCATTGAGTGCGTTGTCAGTAACACTATCCTTCCCTTTCTGATTTTTTTTATTAGCTGCCATGTCAAGCGCATGGAGTATGGATCCATTCCACTAGTAGGTTCATCCAAAATTATAACCTGAAAATGGAAACAATAAAACTTTCCAACCCATTCCAACATGGGAAAGTAACAAGATAGTGCCATTTAAATTTTGTACTACCTTACTGTTTCCTATCAGTGCAATTCCAAGAGACAACTTCCTCTTCATGCCTCCAGATAGAGCCCTCACAGCAGTGTTCATTTTATCAGCCAAACCTACCTGATATAATCACATATGATAAAACAAATCTCTTAATTTGATTATGAAACAAAAAATTGTCCCCATAAGAATGTTATACAGCAATAAAATAAAGGTAGCATGGCATTATAATGGCATTGATAAAATCAAATATTCTGAAAATACCGGGACCAAAAATTTAGTACTGTGACTTCTGTCACAGGATAAACATGTAAACTCACATAGTAAGAAAAAACAGATGTTTGTTGCACATGAAACTTCAAAAACAAAGAAATTGGATCCCAGAAGGATACCAAACAGGGCCTAAGATTCTGGAATCAGAATGTATAAACATAAGATACTGTGCTGTATGTGATACTTCAGTGGCAAGAAGAACCAGTAGCTCAGACTAGCAAGCAGAACCATGAAGGAACACAGCTCTGCAATAATAACTTACTTGATCAACCATATCAACAACAGCGCCGTTCAGAAGATCTTCCTGCACACCCTTCAGTATAGCAAATATTTCCAAATGTTCCCTCACCTGGACAAAATATTAAAATCAGAGATCACTGCATGTGTGTGTTTCTAGGTATCACAAAATATCATTATTAATCAAAAGCATCAACTGAAAGAAATATGATATGAAAAGTACAAGAAGCATCAATAAATTATCAGTATCAACCCCATATTCTTTCGGTTGCAGGGTGATGCAGTTTGAGGGTCATAAAAATGAGATGAGATAGATAGATTCTTTTGGATTATTCAGGGTTGTGGATAAGGATAAACTATAGGTCGTAAAAGGTCGTACCCAGTGCACAAGGCTCCCGCTTTACGCAGGGTCTGGGAGAGGTGAATGTCGGCTAGCCTTACCCCCATTTATGGAGAGGCTGCTCCCAAGGATAAACTATAGGATCAAGTTAATTTTTGGTCAGCCCCAGCAGCCTCGGCCACTGTAGAAATCAGGAATTCTTCCTTGTCAGATTTTTTGTTTGGCTAGAAATCTGATCTTTTAACCCCTAGTGTGAAATTTAGGTAGCTTATAGAGTTTTGTTGTTCACGACTTAATATTTTGATTTACTTATCAAAACATAGTTACGACACGAACTGATTCTCTAAGCACCCGGAAAACCATTTTTCGCAACAATCAGCGTCCAATAAATACAATATAACTACTTGGAGATAGTTACTTTTTCCTTATGAAACAAAATCAAATGGTTGGGAGAGTGAGTTAGAGTTCTTAAGCATCTAATCATTTGATGAACTCCACCTACTTCACATAAAATACATTACAGTACCCATAAGATATCTTACAGCAAATTTTTTTAGCATGTAGACGATAAAACATAATCTTGCTAGTAGCTTCAAAGGAATTATCAGATTCAAGGATGGACAACAGAGCATGCTTCTCACTTACTGTCAATTCTGGAAAAAGGATATCACTTTGAGGACACACCCCCAATTCCTTTCGTATCTCATCCTACACATTCATATTAAACATAAAATATCACACTTTTGAACTGTTCCAAATATTAACAAAAGCAAGCAGAAGGTGTTTGATGGGAAAGATATAAAAGAAAGCCTTTGGTATCACATAGACATATATACAGGAAGATACTTCAAAGTGGACCAAACTGTCCAGTTTTTACATCCCACTGATGGATCATCCTTGCAAAAGATTAGCTAAACTGGAAACTATGGAATCAATTAATGGATCAAAGAAAATAAAGAACGGAGTGTATCCAATTATTGAAGAAGATTACTGAACCCTACAACGTGTTGGCTAATGATCGGCCAGCTTCTCATGTCATATTCTTATCACAGAGATGGTAATCTTCTTCAATCATGTTGTACGAGAGTCAATTAGGGTTGAGTAAGAATGAGGACACCCCCAAACTTTAATCCCTTATTTTACCACTGCTTAATGCTTTAGTGATGCTTGTTAAAGAAAGATTACCATGTCTGTAACAATATTCTTCCCGAAAACCAAAGCATCCCCTGAAGTAGGGCGAAGAAGGCCAACAAGCATTGATATCGTTGTGCTTTTACCAGCCCCGTTGTGTCCTTTCATTGACAAAATTTGAAATCAATACAAACAAAATGATGCATCAAGGACTATAAAACTCTATTTACTTGTTTTCATTTTCTAGTCAATGACAGTTATGAAATGACTATTTATATGTCTCATTTGGTAATTGGCATGTACCACAGCTTCTGCTTAATATGTTTGTGCACGCCCAGATTGCATGGATAGACCTAAAATGTCAACATAATGGTGAGTAGCATATTGAAAACACTCACCTAGAAGAGCAAGAATCTGATTTTCATACATGGTGAGCTCTAATGAGTTAACAGCACAGCATTTCCCCTTTTTACTGGCATAAACCTTATGCAGATTCCTTATTTGGATGCATCTACAAGTAGACAAAAAACGTAAAGAACAGAATAATGAATTTTTAAAAAAAGAAATTCCCAAGAATTCAAAAATTAAACAGACCTACCTATGGTCAAGCTCTTGTTGTTTCATGTCAAAGGTTATCGCTTCCACAGATGCTCTGGCATTATCTTTCCCAGAAAAACTTGCCTTCTTGCAGTCCTTGTCATGGCTATTAACTTCTAGACTGGAATTGTGATTATTAAGTTCCTTAATGCTTGGATTTTTCCAGAAGCACTTCTGAAAAATGAAGTTCCATGGATATCTAATTCCATTCTCCCTCGGAAGGACCTGATCACATAAGCCAATTTTGAATTCAAGAGGAGGATTCTACAGTTTACATTCAATCTTTACCACCTAAAATATAATTGAACATAATAAGTTGAAAATAAATAACTAATGGACATTTGGTGGTTCAAGATTCTTAGACAACCAGTGGATTCTCAAAAGATTAAGCTATCAGGGAATGGAATAACGATCTATTTTTAAAACTAACAAAGGGTAATTTAACCTCGTTCTCCAGATGAAGCCAATATTATATCACAATGTTTGGTAGTTTTTTCCCTATTTTTAACTTCCTTGAACAATAAAATATTCTAGACTCTGATTACATCCACATTTCTAGCCTATATGGCATATTGACATGTTATCGATCCATCTATTCGAACATTTAGGAAACTCTATTAAAATATGGGATTCCAAAATATATACCTTGTCCAGATAAAGACCAATTAAACAGTAGAGCAATGCATCGAGCAACATCATCAGTAGACAGACCAGAAAATTCACTCCAGATGATGCCTACAACGATAATAGTACTCAAAATTAGAACACATTGATAGAGGTTAAAATAATTTTGGTAGGAAATGACCCATATTCACAATGTACCCGCCATATGTTGCTCCAACGAAGGCCAACATGAGCACGCTCATAATCAGCAAAGTTAATTGACCCTAGAGCAAATGCCGTGGGCGAAAGCAGAGAAGCAACAACCTTTAATATCCTGAAAGAGAAAATGTATATGAAACCCATCTGCACTACAGAATTTGCAGACCATTAAGAAGGGGGAGGGGGTAGGAGAGAGAGGCACCACAGAAATGTACAAAGCTCAGAACTTACATAGGGACAGCCTCATCATTGACAGAGTAGTAAGGGAAAAAAGCACCCAGAAAAGCAAGGGTCCCAACAGCAACAGCTGTCTTTGCCCGTGTGAAGCATGTCGAGATTAAAAATGACAGCATAATCGCGCTCAGTCCGAAGAAGAAGAAGTAAATGAACACAACTGACTTATCACTATATTTGAAAAGGTTACCCATAGTGGAAACTGTAATGATTGCAGAAGAAATAGCGAACTGCAGAAGAAATCAAACAATCAGAAAGCAGTGGAAAGTCCAAATTTCTTTTACTTTACTCTTTCGCCAATGGAACTTAAACTAGATTAAGGAATATAACTTATAGTTGACCATCGAATGCAGTTTCCCAATCCTTAAAGCAAATGGGCTCAAAGTTGAGAATAAAAAAAGTAAACCTAATTTCTCCATCTTCTGGTCTAGTGTACCTAATTATATTCATGATCTAACCCAACCCACTACTGATATGCTACACTAACACTATGTGCTTAAGAAATCTAAGGACACACTTCCTTGCCTTGTAAATTGATCAATGCTAAGGACCCTATCATTGTGTGACACTGCAAATAGTAGAGCCATGCAACAATAGTTAGATTTCTATGCAACAATAGTTAGATTTCTATGAAAAGCCAAAGAACTGAAAGTTCGATATTGAAGTGCATTAAAAAATTCTACTACAAATGCAAAGAGCATGCAAAGTGGAAATTCAACGAAAATACAAAAGAACAGAGAACCAACCTGCAAAGCATATGTAATGAACCATGAGAGATGGAATATCCCGTCTTTTAGACCCATCATATAAAGACCTTCTTTTATCTTCTGTTCCTGAAACATTGCAAGGACAAAAAAGGGTTGCAGTCCAAAGATTTCAATCCAAAACATACAAATCAACATAGAGGATGAAAAACGACACTGGCCCAAAACATTAACAAAGGTAGAATACATAAATAAATAGAAACAATATGGTGACTAAGAAAATCATCATCTTTGTACCAATTAAAGTTATAATAACAGTTACCAAACCTTCTCAAACACCGAATAGCTGATCAACCGAGAAATTGGGTAGAGGAATCCCAGAAGATACCTGATCATCCAAGTTCCAGATCAACCAAATAGAGCTTGTCAGAACATCTGAGCTAACAAATATTGACTCCCAAGTCCCAACACGGATAATACAAAATTATAAAAGAAATGTAGATATACAAAATTCAAGGTATACGTACAATACACCCATCACACTTTTTATGATGGACTGGAACTCATCATCAGTGTATTCACGAGTTGGAAACGGGACTATTCGAATGTTTGATGGGCTGTAATGCATCCATGGAACGTTTAGAAAGGAAGGTTCACCAAAGGACAGCGATGAAGGAAGTTCTATATCCTTGGTGTCAGATTGTTGGGCCGCAAAAATAATAAATGAATCCAGTACTTGCTGGAGCTGCAGTTGTACAAAGGCATTAGAAAAATGGATGCGGTTTTTTCACAAATATAGTCGACGCAGTTTCACCAAAATTTTAATTGAAGAAAAGGGATTCGTCAAAGCTGTGAAGAAAATAAGTTGTGAAGAAAAATAGTAAACATATTTAATATGGAAGAAATTTAGAAGATGCACTGTCATTGAATAATAATCGTTAAACTTGTAAACGAGCTTCTTCGCATATTTTGATTTACATAAGTTTTTTAGAACATTAAAAGCCTGCTACTGACATATAGTTAGGAAGAAGCTCCATTCAACAACTAAAGGAACAAGTGAAATTAAGAAAACAAAAATCAATAACTGAACAATGAATGAAGCAACATTACAGTTAAAAATCCACTAGCGCTGTATTGCATGGTCGGAACAGCATTTACGCCAAGTTCCAAGTCATTGAGGTAGGGGCCATTCGTGTCCATGATGGATTTGACATCAGGAAATCCCGAGAAAGCCCATGTGTGATTAAGACGTATGCTATAATCAAATGATTGAGGACCTTGATCATGAAATACAACTGCTCCTTTGATTTTTGGATTCAAGCAATTCCTAAACAAAGAGTGGAATTTACTCAGTCACACAGCCAAATTCAATAATGCAATTCTCATAGAACCAAACAGGCTGAATTCATTAAACCAAAAAGCCATCCAGCTAATAATGGTCAGCAATTAAGAGAAACAGTACAGCAATGAAAGATGTTTCAAACTATAAGCATAAGTCAGATGGCTAGGTCCTTTTAAGGGGGATATTGGTGCACAAAAAAGAATACCACAACATGATTTAATTTGTGCATCATATAAATCATTTCAAAATCATGCATGTATGATAGACCTCACATCTAAATCCATGAAGATGTGTGCATCATATCCAGGAAACCAAAATCAAATTCAGAAGAGGAAAACTATAATGCACCAAGTTAGTAACAATATCTACAAGAATGAAAGCTTATTCACATCAATCAAGCATGCAGGAAAAGCTACAGTCATGCAGTCCAAGTGACCAAAATATGTAAGAGATTAAGAAGGAAACATTTGAGCCGCACTAGAAAGTCAGCAAAAAAAAAAAATTTGAAATTTGCAGTTCCTCACTAGTCTTTTACAGTCCATCAGTCCCAATTATAATAGAACATTTTAAGAAAATTTCAACTGTACTGTGATACAAAAGTATGACTTACAAGATTTGATTGCAGGTACCATAGAGATCTGAGCGTATGTAGGTTTCCAGCTCCTGTTCATCTTTGTAAACTCTAGAAACACGCTGTGAGTATGAAATGTGCATTAATTAGCTTGAGTCATCAAAACTTTGCCAAGGAAATTAAAGGAGGACACATTGTAAAATCTGTTATTTTATTTCTCTATTTGATGTAAGAACGCTAAATCTATGCAAAGGCCTCACTTAAAATGTTCAAGAAAGCTATATGGCAATAAAAAGCCAGAATTTTGCATTTAAATGTACAGTTAAAAAGTGGAAGAAAATGAGATTCTTCTAACAAATGAAAAACAGTAGAATTCACAACTATTGAACACTGGATCAATCATTGGAAACTACTAATAAGAATATATAATGCACTTGTGAGTTGTGACAGAAAACCTAGTTTTCACCATCATGTGTATCCAGGTAGTTTCCAGTGTGTCTGAACCAATGCTATGATTTAGAATTTGAGATAAAACATAATCAAGAATTGCCTACATTAGTTTGTTGATGAATGAACCATATGTCAACAGTATTTTGTTTTCTGTTTTGGTTTGGTCTTCTTGACCAACCTCTTTACCTGTTACCTTTGACCTTAATACAATCATTCTTTATCAAAAAAAAAAAAAAAAAAAAACCATATGTCACATTAGCCCCAAAATTATTTTTCTGAAGATGAAGCATTCCTCTACATGAAAACACCATTTTAAAAACTAGGGTAGGATGGTACAGTACCCAAGATGTTTGTTTAGCAATATTATTTTGCTTGATTGAAATCAGTATAGCGTTGATACTTAACCGTGGGTAAAATAAAGTCCGAACCAATAACATCCAATCTATCTAGAGTTGTAAAATAAAATTCATACAAGGCAAAGAATTCAATGTCAATATTTTGCAAATAAATTGTGAAATAGAGAAGAGGTGTAAAAAATTGGATGCACTAAAGAAAATAATGCATCCAATTAAACATTAGCACAGAAACACAATCACACATTACAAAATATGGAAGTAGCATGCAAAAGAATGTTAAAAATTGTTACCTTCAAGAGGGGAAATTTAACCGACATTATGTTAATCATTGACCTTGTTTCTTCTGTATCTGGTGCAAAAGCCAGAAACTCTTCCTTATTCAACAGTAATTCCAATACTTGTTCAAAATTAGGTGACACTCCTTTGCCCACTTCCACAAACATCCCATTCCGGATATACCTGGTTAAGCCTTGTAAAACTTAGTTGTAATACTTCTAACAAAATAAGAAATTTTGTGAAACATCCATTTAGGTTTTTGAGAGAGTATTGCTCAAAGTAAAACACCCCTTAAAATATAGATAGTACTAAATCAGGTAACAAGCACATAACTGCATGCAGCACACACACAACATGCATGCAAGGACACTACACACATAAACACAATACATGAATTAGCCAAAGTTTGTCAACACTTACGGCTGCGCTGGATGAATCTGTGTATCAACATGCATCCTCACAGCTATTAACAACAACATCACCACTGTAGGAAGTAATATCTGGCAGAAAATCATTAGAAATTTTTAGATTGATTTCATCAACTGTTATACACAAATTTTATCCAAAAAAATTAAGAAATGAGAAATATAAGCAGAAAAATTATTCTAGTTGGAACAATTATGATAACACAGCCAGAAAAACTGCCACTTTGTAACCAAAACTCAGAAGGAAAACAGTAGATTTTCATCATTTAGTTTTGAAATTAAAATTAAGGAAGCATAGTAGAATAAAGGAAACAAAAAAAATACGATGACAACAACTTACTTCAACATAGCTTGACCCCAACTATTTGAGGTCGAATAGTACATGAATCCTAGTTCTCCAACCTTACGCTATATTTTTTTAAGTCACACTCTACCTTATCATTCTTAATTACCACTACCCATGTTCTTTCTTGTCTTCCTTTTCCCCTGGCACTAGCCTCTCTGCTCATTAAGTCACTCTGCTAAATGGTGCATCCATTGAACTTTGATGAACACAGACAACCCACCATAGTCAGTGAACTATCATTTTTATCAGAATATGTGCTAATTAACCTTCTAAGTTCATTTCAAATCCTATCCTTTCACGTCTTCCCATACACAATATCAACATGCTCACATCTTGTTCAGTTCTGGTTCCATATGGCATAGCATCTATCAGTTCTTCTGTAAAATTTACCCTTCTATCCTAAAAGTATCCAATGAACATGTACACTCCACAATTTAGCTATCTAGACGGGATGCAGTTACTGATTCATGATCTGGCATTTACAAAACAACCACATAAAACAACGAAAAAAATTATATTTTCCAAAAGGCATAAAATAGTATGGATGTGATTCTAATTGTGCATCTTGATCAGTTGGATAGGTTCTTAGTAGATATCGATGCAAAGCTTTTGAAAATATGTTTGCATATGCTACATTCCTTTATCATTTCGTCCAAACGTAGCAGTGCCTATAAGTACATGAACTTTTTAGAGTACTCATTCACTCTCATTTTATGAACCGCATCATCTTGAATTTCTCAACCCTCATGATTGATCTGATAGAGAGAATTTCACTATCTGGAATCACTTGACCCTTGAATTTCACCGCCTACCTACTCTTCTTTTCCTACAGAACATTACATATAATCGTTCTAAGATGTAGTTCCTTTACAGTCGTCGGTCGGATAACTCGAGCTTTTCTCCACAACTCTAATTTAGAAATTATCCTCTAAAAATAGGAAAACAAATGTCACCAAAACAAAAATTACCAAAATTGAAATGAATTACAGAACAAATGCGGCTATAATTGCTGAGCGATTATTGAAATTTTACGAATTCCTGAACGAATTACACACTAAAATCAAACAAAAACAGACAAAAAAACTCCGAATTTCTGGTGATCACGTAAAAGCATAGAAGAAAAATCAAGACTGGAAACATTAGCAAACAAATCAAGATCAAAACTAGAACAAATTCAAAAACTGAAACAAAAAGTAGACGGAATGAGGAGGGAGAGAGAGACCTCAGCGCAGGTGACGAAAGGGTGACGAACTTTGAGAAGCCAATTCTTCCATAGCATAATCTTCAACTGCCTCCGTCCGGTCCCCATCTCCGCTGCAAAGTTCAAACCCTAGTAGCTCGCAACCGTACAGAGTCCGGTTTTCCTCTTCGTTTTCCGCTTTCTCTCTCTCTGCGTTTCAGAATTTAGAGAGAGAGAGAGATACAAAAGTAGAGAGGGGGTGCTGACTACGAGGGCGGAGGTGGCAACTGGGAAATGCTTGAGTAAAAGTCCAAATTAGACATCTGTTTAGTGTCAGGAGCATCTCTCTCTCTTTCTCTCTCCTCTCTCTCTTTCTCTCTCTTCTCTCTCTGTCTGTTGAGGATTGGTGAAAGAGATAAAGGAAAAAGTAAAGAAAATATAAAATATAAAAATATGAAAAAGAAATCGTAACGACAAAAGCAAGGAATTTTTGTGGTTTTTAGAAATAACTAATTAAAATTAAGTGTTTGTTTGGAGGGGTGGGAATATTAAAGTGGACTCGGTGGAAAAATTGTACGTTTGCGTTTGGCTGAATTGGGTGCTTTGGTTTGGTTTGGACTGGGCGGCGGAGGCACCTTCCCGTTGCCGGTAAGTTCTGTCGTTGAAAAAACGTGTAATATCTACTGAGGGTTGAGAGTGACGTTTACCTACCCGCGAGATAAATAAGAAAATGTTGTCCCAATAGTAACTTCAGTGTATCATAATATTTTAGTTTAATCTGTAATGTTGTGTACAGAAAGGGCTTACATATCATATTGTATTATTATACCAGATATCATGGTGTGTGGTGAATGTATTCATATTGTATTGTATTGTTATATAAAATTTTGCTTTAGATTACAAGAGGCAGGTGAGAGAAACCAAAAATTTGTATACCTTATAAATTGTTGGCTTATTAGTTGAAATGACCCTTGAAGTTAGTTTTGTTTTATTTTGACCCCTGAAACTAACATTTTCAACTATTATGGTTTCACTTCACCCCATTCCATTAAAGAACTGTTAAATTCAAGGACATTTTTTACACATTTATCTCTAACGTACACACTAAACCAATCTCAATTCCATTTTGTGATGACTCTATTATATACCCATGAGTTTTGGGCATTTTTTAAAATAAGTTATTATATCAATAAAATTTTGAGCAACAAAATCATTATATCAACCAAAATAAGGTAACATTTTTGTTCTTACCGTCATTTCACTTGCAAGACATTCATGTATTGGCTCGAAATCTTACAGTTGAAAAATACTCATTACAACAGAAAGGAAACATGGTCAGCTTATTTCAAGATATTTTTCTAATCGAAATTGGACTAACCACAAGTTTCACCCATATAAAAAAGATCTATTAGTTGCACAAAATACTCATGCCAAAATACTTCTCAAACCAAAAAAAAATCATCTAAAGCAAATGTGCACAATTTGCAACTAAAATTTTCACATTGTTGCTCGAAATTTTTCTGTTGATTAAATAATTTATTTTTAAAAGGGCCTGAATCATGAGGTTTTGAATTAGAGTTGTCAAACATGGAATTGAGATTGGTTTAGTGTGTGAGTTAGAGGTAAATATATGTGCAAAAAGTCTAAAATACCCTTAAATTTAAGGAAAACTAATGAAAAGGGTTTGAAAACTTTGAGTTTTAATGATAAGGACAAAATAAAGGGTAAAGTGAATAGTACCATGTTTGATTTTTTTTAGTGTAAAAATGTGATTTTTCGTTAAAGTGAACGATACCACAGACTTTTCGTTAAATCTCCCTTAAATTTACAATCCTTTAACATAATCAAGTGAAATAAGACCAAAAAAGTTGAAAATGTCATTTTTAATAGCAAGTGAGACAAAACTTGTTCATGCGATAAATTAAGACTAAATAATAGTTTCAAGACACATTTCAATTAATGCTTGTTTATAAAATTCAAACCTAAATCAACAGATAATATATATAGAGAAGTATTATTGGCACTCCAAAAATCTCATTCTACACTCCTCACAAGTGTATTTTTCTTTCTAAATATAGAAAGTTTGGAATGTAAAATGAGAAATTTGGAATGTCAATAATAATTCCCTATATATAACTCAACAGCTTAGCATATGTAGTTATTAGTGTCATGTTTGACCACTTGGGTACAACCCACCGCCAAAAGTAGTGAACACATCTCCTAGTCCCAGCGAAGGAGATAAAGCAATAAATTAATCAAGGAATAGGATCAAGGGACAAATATTTTTACAAATACTTTTACACTCTTTTTAAGCCTTTTGATTACATGATATCCAATGGTTCTTATTTATTCATTAAATGACATGGATGCTTATGTGGATTTAACTAATATTAAAGATAAACTAAAACTAAAAAAAAGTAAAATTTGGAAAATTAAAAATGTAATTAAAAAACCAAGATAATTTAACTGAAATTTATTCTCTTATTCCCCTTTCGATCAAGACTTGAACCCCTAATAAAAAAATCATGAAACTTCTTCTTGTAAATATAAACTCGAGCTTTGTCCCTTGATTTAATATTTTTGCAGAAAGTGGTTGCTGGATTATGCACGAGCTTAGCCTTGACCCTAAACTTTGTTACACAAGACCGAACTGTGGCTTCTTCATCACTAGCTATGCCAGACAATCAACAGCAGCAAATGCACTTGCCACAATGCAACCATGATACACAAGAACCAATGATACCAATGACGGTTATGGCGAGGCCATATGATTTCATTTGCAGAAGCAGCATGTTCTTTCCCAACCAAATTCTATTGCAGACCCAACTATGGCATCTTCATTAGGCATGGCTAGACAAGAAGACTACCTTCAGCACAATGGTTTTATGAATAATGCTTCGACGGACATGCCACAACATTACTACTCCAGTACACAAAAGCCAAGTAGTGGTACTGATTCATCTCAATATCTGTTGCAGACTGGTACGACTAATTTCGCTGATCCAAGCACACTACTTTGTTACACAAGACCACCAGCTAGACTACTTTGTAGCCGATCCTACTGCGGCTTCTTCACCAGTTAGTTCATCCAATCTTGATCAAAATCATCAAATCAACAATAAAGATCAAAATCCACTTCTTAACTTTGACTACACCCAAATTTATGATTGTGATGGTGATGACATCAAGCTTCCTCATCGGCAAAGAAGAAGTTTCATGATTTTTTTATTAGGGTTCAAGTCTTGATTGAAAAGGGAATGAGAGAACCAATTTCAATTAAATTATCTTCCTTTTTTAATTAAAATTTTAATTTTCCAGATTTTATATTTTATGATTTTATTTTATCGTTAATATTGGTTAAATCCATATAAGCATCCATGTCATTTAGGGTGCGTTTGTTGCACCTGACTATCTCGGATTAGACTAGTTTTATGGATTAAGTTGGACTGTCTTGGCTTAGACTAAACATGATAAAAATAGTGAAGTGTTTAGTGCAGTGCCGGATTAAGTGTCGGACTAAAATATTAACCCAATTTTTTTGTTAATAGGAGAACAGGAAATTAAGAAAGAAATGCAACGCCACGTTGTATATGGGCAGCGTAAAACACTAGAAAATGGAGATGAGCAAAGCATGTCGATGATGAGAAAGACCACACACTGTATATTCCTTCAAGAAAGAGATTGTGCTAACAAAATTAACCCAGAACTCAAAATTAAACCAAAAAAAAAAAAAGGAAATGAAAGAAATTAACATCAAAATTAAACCCAGAACTCCACACTGCAACGCCAAATCCATGTAAGTTTTCCTACCAACCAAACAAAATTATCCCAGAACTCCAAAAGGTCCAAGAATGCTCTAGAGTGTGGGACTGCAGCGCTATTCCTTTCAGTGGCTTCGACGACACCGAATCTTGGTCGTCAACGATCTCTTCTTCTTCAAGCTCATTGTCGTCCTCCCTCGATGACACCGAATCTTGGTCGCACAAAAGATGAAGGTGGTCATCGTCGACGGCCTGGCTATGGTGACGGCTCAACAAAAGAAGGCGGAGCATCGATGGACTGGGGGGTTTAGCAAATGAAGTGGGGATTAGATGTTGGCCTGGTTTCCTTCTTCTAGTCCTTGCTAATACCAAGCGAAAGCGTGGGATTAGGTTGAGAGGTTTAGTGAAGCGCGCAGGGACTCGTAGTCAAGGCGAGTCCCATTTATTTTAGTCCCACAACCTACCAAACGTAGGATTATAGTCCTACTTAAGGTAGTCCAAGCCAATCCCTCATAAGGAGATGTAACAAACGTGCTCTTAATGAATAAATAAGAATCATTAGATATCATGTAATCAAAATGCTTAAAAAGAGTGTAAAAGTATTTGTAAAAATATTTGTCCCTTGATCCTATCTCATTACTCAAAGTATCCAAATGTATAATTAATTATAAAAAACCATGAACATAAAAGATGACGTTGTAGGTAGGGATGGGCAAATACCCATCAGTTATGGGTAACCGCGGTTATCCGCTCATTTAAATTTCGCGGTTACGGTTATGGGTAACTGTTTAGATAATTAAATGATTATGAGTATAACCGTTTACCAGTAAAATTTAAATGGGCGGTTATGAGTATTAACCGCGGTTATAACGGTTACCCGTTTACTCGTTTATGAATAATCTGTAATTTTGATTTTCAATTAAAATTAGGGAAGTCGTGGAAGAACAAGTCTGAATTCATATTTTTAGATGTTCTAACTATTTCTAACAAATGGGTTTCTTTTCTTTCTCCTGATATAATGTCCTGTTTGTTTTACATGTTTTGTATACACTTATGTAGTCGTGGAAGTTAGTCCTTTATATCTTAGAAAAGTTTGAATTCATGTTCTGCTTGTAAAACTAGGTTGTTATTTGTAAAACTAGTTTGAATTCACAATGGATACAAATGTTCTGCTTGATATTTTAGAATTAAGCATCACATATATCTATATTTTTACATTTTTAGAACTCTGAAGTCTGAATTCATGTTCTAGGTGCTGCAAATTGATATTTTAGAATTATTGGAGTTGTTGTAAGATCCCACAACATCCAGGAGAGTGATCCTTATATGTATATTCTCATTCCTACCTAGCATAAGGCCTTTTGGGAGCTCACTAGTTTCGGGTTCCATCGGAACTCCGAAGTTAAGCGAGTAGCGCGAGAGCAATCCCATGATGGGTGACCCACTGGGAAGTTCTCGTGTGAGTTCTCAGAAACAAAACTGTGAGGGCGTGGTCGGGGCCCAAAGCGGACAATGTCGTGCTACGGTGGTGGAGCGAGCCTGGGACGTGGTGGACCCCAGGCCGGGATGTGACAGTTGTATACGCTTACAGTTAAAAAATGTAAATAGGCGCAAAAAAGAGTAAATGGGTTAAAAAATGGATAAA